CTTTCCAGTAAAGGCTTATCACCACATACAAATTTTTATTTCAATAAGGGCAGTTTTGGATTAATCACTAAAAATACAATGAGTCCTGCTGCAGGGTATGTGTGATCAGTTTGTTAGAAAGAACATTAGCATAGAAATAATAATTTTCTAACAAAAAAGCTGTTGGCCATTTAACATTACCAGAGAAGGTTATAAAATTTGCTTCATTGCAAAACCAAAAATCTGATTTAAAATAAGTAGCCATCTATCTTGATAATTTAGGTGTGCAACCTACTAGAGGTGGCACACTGAGTTCTTTCAGAGTTGTAAAGGGGCTCTGATGCTCTTAATTTTGGTAAGCCTTTTTTACACTTGTTATTCCTGCTTTGGTAAGGATAGGTGCAGTGCAACTAGGGAGAGTCAATTTTTTTCTTAATTCATTGGTTGATCTTTTCCTAATATCTTCTAAGGAGGAGGTCAGTAGGTCATTATCATTATTCCTTTGTTGGTGGTCTTCTAGTCAGTGACTATTTTGTTGGTAAAGTGTCTTCTGACTTAGGCTCATTTGACTTTCCTCTTGGAGCACACTTAAACAAGAAATATGCACATGCCAGAAAATAATCTATAAATATATATTCAATTTCTGTCACTGCTAAGAAAAAGTGTAATGGTAACATTTATTGAGCTTGGACAGAGCGTTGAAATTGCTGCAAGCTTTACCCTACTTAGCAGAGGAGAAACTGAGGCTTAGAGAACCTGGGAAACATGTCTACAGCCAGACAGATACGATGGGGTACTGATGGGATCCAGCCTAGGTCAGTCTGACTGCAGAGTTAGGCACTGAATAACTCTGCCTTTATATTAGTGAGTTTGCAGCCTAACAAATCTCTCCAATTTACTTCTTTTCAGAAGTTCTTTCCTTTCCTTCCCTTTCCTTCCCTCCCCTTCCTTTTCTTTTCCTTTTCTCTTTTCTTTTTAGTTCTAAATTGTTGTAGAAATAATAAAGTATCTTTAGACACTGGATCTCAAACTTGGCTGCAGTTGGGAATCAGCTGAATGTATAAAAAAAAATAACTGGGGGCCGGGGATTTAGCTCAGTGGTTTCGCCGCCTGCTGCGCAAGCGCAAGGACCCGAGTTCAATTCCCAGTACCAAAACCCCCCTCCCCCCCAAAAAAACAACAAAAAAACTGGTGGCTGAGTCCCTGTTCTGAATCTGTCATATGGAGTGTTGCTTGTACATTCAGATTTTTAAAAATTTCCAGGTGAAGGCGGGGGATGTAGGTCAGTGCTAGGGTGCTTGCCTAGCATGTGTGAAGTCCTGGATTCAATCCCCAGGACCTCAGATCAGTCGGTCAATCAGTTAGTCCTCCAGGTGATTCTGCTGTGTGCATCAGAGTTTGACAACTGCTTAGGAACAGTACTGGGGATCAAACTCAGGATCTTGCACTTGCGAAGTAGGTGGTGGGGAACAGGACCAAATTTAAAATTCTAATTTCTGTCAGCCAAATAATGTCTTATTACAAAAGTACTACATATTTGCTTTAGAAAATGCAGGCAAATAAAAAAATTACAGTTAAAATGATCTGTAATCCCTTCACTAGAAGATAGCTCATATTTGACTGTGTATCTTTATTTTTTTCCTTTTTGCACTGTGCACATTTATAAAGTTTTAACTACAATACTACTACTATGTAGAATTTTATATTTAATACCAGATTGCCTTATATCTGTTTTATAGTATTTGTATGTTTTACTGGACTTAGAAATTCTTGATTCTTATACATACATAATGATGTCATTTGATCAGTCCTTATAAGCTAGTAACTCTTAAAGTGGAGCAATATTTCCATTAATGGGGAGTCTGTACATTATGTGAAGCACTGTAAGCTGAAAGTCCTTTGTACTCTGGTCCTGTATGGGTTTTTCAGACAAGTATGTCCTTTGTGTACTTCTTGTCTCCCTTGGAGATTCTTAAGGCAAAGCCCATGTGGTTTTTCCCTGGCTCTTGGATTCAGTTTATGCTCAGTAAATGGCTGAATGGATGAACAGACAGGTATGTTCCAGGAACTGAGGAGAGGTCATACTTTGAAAAAAATTAATTACTGAAATAAGTTTAGATATGTTTGAAAAACTGTTTGGGAATATTGGGATAATAGGAAGAGAGAGTAAGAGTGGAGTTGAAATAAGGACAATGGCTAGAGGACACTGTAGGGTAGGTTAGCCTCAGGCCCTTTGAGAAAGGTTACAAGTCTTCTGCCCAGAAGCTTTCCAGATTTGGTTCCTGACAGGTTCATACTTCCCGAGGTACAATATTCTCTCCCAGTATAGGGAAGGGACTGGGTCATAGCCTTCCATTTCCCCTGACCTATTCTAATGTTGTAATAAAGAGGCTGACTCAGATATACTTTCAGAATGAGAACCAACTAATTTGCAGAATTTGCTCTTCCCTCAATATTTTCCTATTAAAAGTTTGAGAAACTGCTGCCGTGTAATGGAGTTCAGTTAGGGGATAACCAGAATCTATTAGTCAGCAACTAGGAGCTCCAGTGGTGCAATTGGTTATTGCATAGTACTTACATTGGTCAGCAACTGTCAGTTTCTTTCCCGTACAGGTGGTAGGGAGGAGATTTAGAGCACGGCAGGCCCATGAGGGCTGGCCTAACACAAAAGGGTTATCCTGGTAGATGTGCAGGTTTGCTGGGTGAGCTAGGCTTGTTGTGAGTCAACCCAGACAACTGTGGGCACCTTGCACAGAGATGTTTTGGTACTGCTGCCACAAAATCAGACATCTTTGCATTGTATGATTTGTAAAAGATTTCTTTTTCATTCTGACTTCTTATGATGTAACTTTATAATCAGTCTTAATTATAATTAATCACAAAACCTATGTATCAAAATAATATTAGCATTTCCTTTTGCCTCAGAAAAGATTTACTTTTGATTAAAGATATGTTACAATCTTTACTTGTTACTGTATATTTTAAAATAAAATTTTATGAAAAATGAGACATTGTAAATGTATATGTGTAACCTAATTATGCGTAAGTTATTTACATGATTGAGTTGTATAGTCTTGCTGGAATTCTTCTGAATTGAGGCGTTTGAATAGTTCCAAAAATTCTAAGAAAAATCAGAACCTATTTGCTATCCTTTGTTTTCCATTTTTTACAGAATTCACACTGACAGTTAAAGACTTTCAGTTTAAAGGCATTAGTAAAGGTGCTTAAAACTGTCAGTCATCATGCTCTATTTAGAATTCAACAAAAACCAAAATCAAAGAATGAAATAGTAAGGCTTGTTGGTCTGAAAATACTTTTCTCAAGATAAACCATAGTAAAAGAGAGGGAATCCTTATAGTTACGCTATATAGGATAGCAAAAAATAAACACTAGAGGCAATACTTACTCAGGTAACATCAGTGATTCAGGAGATTTCTGGAATGCTGTGCCAACCATTGGAGCCAGGAGTATATTATGATTTAATGGTACCTCTCTGCTACATTTGATGAGCTGTCCTAGAAAAACATTTTGAAGCAATAAAGCATCCATTTGGCTCCTAAGTAATGAGGGAGGCATTGCTCTTCACATTAACTATTTATTCAGGAAGAGAAGTGACCAACTGCTAATAAGCTTTATCCAAAGAGGGTCATTTAAAACAAAGAAAATGCAAAAGTGAGGTTCTCTTTGATTTCATACACATTAGCAAAGACCAGAAGCTGTGTGGTTGGTGTCCTTGTACCATGTGGCTTTTGGCTAACTGTACATAAGTGCAAGTGTTTGTCAGTTGTAGTAAAAGCTTCTGGGCTTATGCAAGGACAGTGTGGTCTAAAACGGTGACAGGAGAGGAAGCAATGACTGGTGAGTGGATAAGATTGGGCTGATTTCTCTATTGTTTCAAATTCAGATTTATTTTCTAAGATCACTAACAGTGATTTAGGCTCACTAGTTTCTTTCTTTTGAAAAAGGTTCCTTATTTTTTTACAGATGATTATTTCCTTTCTGTTGCTTGTGAAATCTGCTCTACAATGCAGGATTACACTTAGATTTATTACTTAATCTAGAAAAGTTTTAGAATTGCTATATAAATAAATCTGTAATGTTATTTGGAAATAGTTGCTAGCTATGATTGCAATGTTTTACTCTTGTTCTGCAAGTACAAAAATGGTTCCTTCTTTGCAGTAAATGTTTAGGATTTAGTAACTTCAAGGTTGCAACCAGAATACTGTATTTAGATGCAAATAAGGGCTTCTTTGAAGTCAGTTCAGAATCTCTGAAGCAATTTTTGTGCTATAACAGCTTGAAGTTTTCATTCCACTTGCTTTGAGGTTCTTAATACATTTAGTTTGCCATTTTAGTTAGTAGCATAAAAAAAGATGAAAGTCAGAATTATTTTCTTCCTTAAAGACAACTAAAGGATTTTTATGCTAATTCTTCTCCCTGCTCTGACTAAAAAGTAATACAGTAGGTTTCTACACAATGAGGAAGGAAATCCTTCATATAAATCATATCTAAATAACCAGTAGAAATGATATGTAAACAGTATTACTTAACTATTAACAGAATTTTAATGATACCATAGTAAATCAATTAAAAATCATTTATTATAGCATTTCCTTGATTTTTGATTTAAAAAGTATTTCCTATATTGAAATTAAGCATTAGTTCTAAGTTAACTATGAATTACTGTGAAGTATATTTAAAGTGAGTTTTCAGTATATACTCTATGAAATGTGAATGCGTTGTTTATCTGGGCTCATAGCCTTCAGAGAATGGGTAACAATCTGATAAAAAGTAAATAGTAATGGGATCAAAGACAAGAAAAAAACTGCCAAAATTTTCCTTTCCTAGAACATGTTATATCATACACAGAGAACAGAATTTGCCTTTGTTACTAAGACTTACTTTCTTCACAAAGGAAATAAAAGACTCTTAGAAATGGGACTGTCTTATGAGATACTAGGGTTTGAATTAATTCCTCTTGTTGGTTATTAACAATCATTATATTGAATTATCCATTTCAGATAATCACTCCATTCAGGAGGCTAATGCTGTGTGCTGAGAACAGAAAAGAGATGGAAGACTGGATCAGCTCACTGAAGTCTGTACAGACCAGAGAACCTTACGAGGTAAAACAGTGTCTCCCTGTTGTTTCTTTGTTCTTAGGTCATAAACATTAAGCAAAGAGCTAAAGCAATACTGTGCCAAAAAAAAGTATGTATAGATTCATTAAGCTTATTTAAGCCAGATGTTGAATTTTTTTTTTTTTTTGACTTAGAGTGCTTTGGTGTTAAAAGTAATGGGTTTGGAAATTTAACTACAGTGTGCACATTCCAAATAGTCCAGCATGTGTTACCTTGTTTCCTTGTTCTGCCACTCTATCCTGACATCTCCTTTCTAGGTGGCCCAGTTTAACGTGGAACATTTCTCAGGGATGCACAACTGGTACGCTTGCTCCCACGCCCGCCCCACCTTCTGTAACGTGTGCCGAGAGAGCCTTTCGGGAGTCACTTCCCATGGCCTGTCCTGTGAAGGTACTGTAGCACCCAGCTTGTGTCCTATCCCTGTAGTAACAGTACCACACATGTGTCGCTGTTAGTTTTGCACTATTGTAAGGAGAGCAGACACTCTTCCCACAGGAAACACTGCGCGTGTTCATTGTTGAACTTTGCACACATAGGACTAATTTGGGAAACAGTGTTGCTCTGGGAAAGATAACATAAAATCATCTGAAAGGAAGCATAGAGGGGTTGAAGGGAGGGCAGGGGAATGGGGAAAAAACAAGAACCAAGATGTATCATGTAAAGATACAAATTCCTAATGATGAATGTCATCATATTGTATACCTAAACTGTACCAACAAATTTAATGAATTAAAAAAAACAAAGAAAGGAAGCATAAATCAAAATATAGTACCCCCAAGGAACTAGGAACTACTGTCTAAAAAATTTTTTTGGACTTTGCACAACATTATAGTATTCTTTATTCTGATTGATATTGAAGAACAGAACTTTTAGTCAGGACAGTTTATGTTCTTTGGCAGAATTACTGATTGTTATTTCTATTGAATTATTGGGATATTTATTTACGATTAATTTAAATGAATGTCTTCTCATTCATTACTTAATTTTGCAGTATTTGGGATCCAACCTAGGGTCTCATGCATGCTAGGTAAGCTCTGTACTACTGAGCGACACCCCAGGCCCCAATGTCATTTTTTAAATTTTTTTTTTAAGTTTTCTAAAAAATAAGACCCATTCTGTTGTTTTTGCTATAGGGTTTGTGAGTCATTTTTAATTTTGAGAGTATTAACTACTAAAGTTAAATTCATTAATAATTACCTAAAACTTCTTTGGGTTTAATTTTGTATGTCAGTGATGAGGTATGGAAGTGTTGTGTATTGCTTTTTGAACTATGTGTAATATCAGTGCTAGCTTTTTTCTCTAGTACAAAAATATCCTAAGCAATTTTGAATATAACTGATGATAAATAATAGTTACAATTTTACTAGATTTAAATGACAAAACCCGTGCTAACCATATGTTCATCTGTTTCTGGTGATGCAACATGGTGGTGAGGAACAGAAAGGAACAGACCTCTGTGGGGAAACCCTCTTCCATTGCCACTATTACAGATGGTTACAGGAGAAGGCAATAAACACTCTTAGTCTCCTTTCCTTATCTGTGAAATGGGACTAATAGTCCTTCATACCTTATAGAATCACTATAAAAATTAAATGAGAGAATACAACCAATAAAATTACTTTTCTATCAAATAAATTGTGGAAGTTTGTAACTGTGCTGTATAAGAAATTTACCAAATAAAGTATGTAAGTTCAGATTGCATCATAGACCTGATGCACTGAAATTCATGAAAGTGAAAATTCGGAGAAGCCCTTAAACATTTATTTTTTAAATTTAAAGAATACCAACATATAATCTTCTAAAAAATTTTTAAAAGATTGTATAAATGCAAGGAAGTTGCCTTTTTAATGAGAGCATGGTTATTCTGGATATTTTTATCATAATTAAAACTAAACTTTTAAAGCTCTTCCTCAAATATAAATAAACTGCTTTCCTGATAAAACTGAAAACATAGGGTACAAGAGGCTTTAAAACTTACAGTGAGAGGTCTGGGGATGTAGTTCAGAATTAAGAGTGCCTGCCTAACATGGGTGAGGTCCTGGGTTCAATCTCAGCACCCTAAATAAAAGTTGTAATAGAGATGGAAATGCAGTAAAAATTTATTCAGTAGTGACAATTAGTAACTTTGTATTAGTGAAATCCAGCGAAGCCATCACTAAATTTATTTGCCTTTTCTGTTCTTGTTTTTCACAGTAGAATGAGACTATGCCGCTTTGTCTTCTAGATTTGTGTTGAGTAATAACTAAATTTTTAAAAGTCTTGCAAATATAAAATGTGAATAAAAATATGATGATTTTCATAATTCCTAAATTGATAATGTTAATTATAATTTCATAGCATAATTCTCCTTCATGGTTATTTAAACAGTAACTTCACAAAAAAGTTAAATGGCAATTTTCTTTTAAATCAGCAACACTAAATATGTCAACATGGATACCTGGTACTTAAGAATTTTTACCTTTAGTTTAACAGAAAGATTCAGTGTGGCAAAGACTAAATATTGCAATAAAAATCATAATTTTGTCATATATCATATTTTTAAGCTTTGTGGTTTTAAATTCTGGCTTCACAACTCAGGGAAAAGCGCATTATTTCAGAATAACTTGTCAGAGTAACTTAATTATCACTCAACAAAATTAAGGTGCCCATTAATCATTTCCATTTCTTAGTGACCATAATAAACAGTCTAGCTTGTTTTATTATTATCATTATGTGTTATAATAGGTACTTTGCAATTCACAAGTTGCATGAAGAACTTTATTATTACAAAAGTGTGATTTTATTTTTGATGAACTGTTTGATTTTTAATGTTAATTTTTTTAAAAAGCCACAAAATGGCTGGAGGTGCCTGTTGCTCAGAGGTAGAGTGGTTGCCTAGTGCTGTGAAAAGGCCTAGAGATGCTAACCAGAGTTTAAGATAGTTCACTTGTATTGGAGGAAAAAAAAAGCAGGTGCTAATAAAAAAAAATTTTTAAGCTAAACTTAATTCTGACAGTGTTTCGTCTTCACTTATTGTTTATCATCAACAAAATTCAATTACAATATTTTCTATATGAAGAAATTCAATATTTCTATATGACTGTGTTTGAGTAACACAGTTATAACAAAAAGAATATTATTGCCAGGAAGAATTTTTCAAGGTACGCAAAGAGGAGCTAAATGAAATATTTCAAATGTATATAGACAAATACTTTTTAAGGACAGACCAGCTCAGTTAAGTAGTAATTTGTAAACGGGTTTGTCATGGCATTTTGAACATTTGATTTACAGACATCTTAGTTATTTTACCTGAACCTTTTATTTTTCATATACATCAAATTAGGATACGTCAGAATGAATAGTATATAAATCACCCTTCAAAATTTATTAATGATTATTAGAATTTTTTAAAAAAAATCATATGAAGAAAAACCATCTTACATTTAAATTCAGTAACAGTTACCTTATTAAGTTCCACTGAAATGACCTCTACTCTTAGCTATTTATCTGAAAAGTCGAGAACTGATATGTCTTGAGTATCCACTAATTCTTGAACAATTTGTATATTTATACAGATAAATGTATTTAGTAGTAGTTAACTTCTGATTTTCAAAAGCATGATTAATTTTTCAATGAACCTGTAGTTTCCTTGTCTTCCCCTTTATGTGCTGCTTCTTTCCTCTTATTTCTCTTTTTATAAACTCCTTTATGATAATATAGCTCGAATCAGTGAAGGCTGCAGTGGCGACATTATTTCATCATTCCTTCCTTCCACATTTATGATACAGTCCTCTCAATGCAATACTTTTGAAAGATGGTGCCATCTTTGTGGCCCCCGTCAACCCATTTCCCACGATGCCTGCTCATATTCTTGTACTTCAGAACTCTTCTGAATTATCCTTATCTTACTGATATTTTCAAACTTATTAATACAAATATGCATACAGGATAGTGCAGTTATTAGAAGTGTACAGCTCTGTGAATTTTCTCAAATTAAACACATTCATGTAATCAACACCCAGATTAAGAAATAGGATATTTCTAGTGCCCTGGTTACTGTATTTTATTTGTGTGTGTGTGTAGCTGCTTGTTTCACCCTCTCCTCAAGCACTAATTCTTTGGTATTTATTTCATTTCTGTTCTTCTAAGTAACAATCTGTAACTTCTAAGTACTTCATAAACACAAAGCCATATTAACTTTAAAAAATACCATTAACCATCATTGGAGATTAGTTTAAACTTTTTTAAATACTTCTTTTCCTTACTCCTTTCTGGTCTTTAAAATTTCTTGCTATGAGTTCCTTTAATCCTTGGTGTAAAAGAATTAGTTCACTTTAACATGGTGGCTTCTTTTACTTTATTATTTTTAGTGTGTAAATTCAAGGCTCACAAAAGATGTGCTGTGCGGGCAACAAATAACTGCAAGTGGACGACCCTGGCCTCCATTGGGAAGGACATCATGGAGGATGAAGACGGCGTAAGCTGCTTTCTGTCTCACACCTCATCCCTCTACCTCCTCTCTGCTTTTCTGCTCTTTGGGAAAACAATGATACATAAGTAAGAATGGAAAATACTGATAGTTAAGCAGGAGTGTTTATTTTAGGATTAAATAGAAGATGTTAGTTGATTCTGAGTTTTTCTTTTTAATTCATTGCTCATAGCTTTCCTCAGCTCTTGTATTTTAAAGGAAATTTGTCATGAGTAGAGTTTAGGAGTGACTGCTGGGCTGGCCTGGTGTTATGGACTCTTATCTGCTGAGCTCTGTGATATTTAAGGCTCAGCAGAGATGTTCGCTCTTCAGACTTCAGGGCCTCCTCTCAGCCATACCTCTCACATTCAAAGAGTTGCCTTCATTGTATCTTGCCCCCCAATCTCTGATAGCCCCTTGGTCATCATACTTCTCTCCTCAGCTAGACCTCTATCTGAATCCCAAAGGGGGAGGGCTTTTGTCTTACTTATCCTTGTATTCCAGCAGGGTCAGGCATAATAGATTCTCAGTAAATGTGGGAATAAATGAGTGAATGCCTGCTGATGCATGCTATTGAGTCCATAGAGTAAGCAACCATTCCGTATCTTCCCTATGGTAAGAATGTTGTCCTCCACAGTCTTCACTTTGGCTGCCCTTTCTTCGTGTCCCACAGGTTGCGATGCCTCACCAATGGCTGGAGGGCAACTTGCCTGTGAGCGCCAAGTGTGCTGTCTGTGACAAAACATGTGGCAGTGTTCTTCGTCTACAAGATTGGAAGTGCCTTTGGTGTAAAACAATGGTGAGGGTTTGGAATTGTTGCATTTCTCAAGATCTCTTTCATCGTTTTATTGTTCTCCATTTTGCTTTCCCTGTGCAGTGGCTTGCTATCTTCAGGCCTATTTTACTACCTAGTGCACACAGAGAGCTCTTTTCTGGTATGCCACCAGATTTAGTTGACATTAAAAATAATTTTGCTGTAGCCCCATATGTCTAGTAAGCTATGCACTGATGTGATTTAAATTATATATGTTTATGTTATAAAAATAAACATTTGAAACCATCTTTGCCTGTGTAAGAAGGGAGTGAAAAGCACATACAACATAATGTGAGTCAACAGCAAGGAATGGTCTCATGTAAGCTGTTCTAGAAGGCAGAGCTTCTGGACTGCATGAGGACAGTCAGAGAAGAGGCCACAAAGAGGTTGTCAAGGGGCTAAATGACCTCAGGACAAGGATGATGTTCCTGTCCGTGCTGTTCTTGTTTTATCACTGAGCTGTGCTGTCCTGCAGTGACACTGCCTTAAGTTGAGGCAGACTCATTTAACAGCTTCTGTCGTGAATAGTCTTTTAAAGTTACTGGTCCAGGTTTGGAAATCAGCCTCATATTTACCAATGTGGAAAAGCCAATCTTTTGGGTAAGTATGGTGTAGATCAGCAGGCCCAAGAAATGTGAATATTATGTATTGATTTCCTAATCAGTGAGAGAGAAGGACTTCTTAGGCCCCAGAGGAAAATAAGTCCTACAGCTTGATAAGTTGTTTGTGATTCCTTTTAGTTTTTAAGTAAATATGATTCTATTTGTACTCATTGTTTTGTTATTCTTTATCAGTTGCCTCTTTTATTTGCTACGGTTATGTTATTTTTTATTTCTTTTATTTCACTTAATACATAGACTGTAACAGGTGTCTGTTTTTGGACTCTGAGTATATTAAGGCCTCTTATGCCATTCTTATTTTACAGGAATGCTACCCATAAAGAAGATTTTAAATTGCCCTCCTATTTTTTTGTTCAGGGATAAACACTGATAGCATTTCCTACTATTTTTATTAGCAATGCATTTATTTATTTATTTATTCACTCCTAGAGCTTCTGCTGTTCATTTCTAACTTCTTTGATATAAAACATATCTTGTGTGAGATGAATTATTTAGAAAGGCTTTATAGAAATTGTCTTTACCTGCAGTGTATATGTTTACTTTTGTCTAGCCATTCTGCAAATAGAATGTCACTGTTATTACGGTTAGTTCACAGGGGGATTCTGGAATGCCTTCTGTCTCTTTTCTCCTGGCAAACTCAGATCTCACTTAGTTGTGACATCATCCCTGCTTCACCCGGGTTAGACATGCTATTTCCTGTCACCATCCACCTGTAACATCTCTTAGTCTCACACTTCCTATACACTATCATCTGTTTACACACTCTTCCCATAAAGATGGACTTGTGTCATTTGTAGGACAGTGGATGCACCTTAAGGTCTTAATAAAGTTAATGTTAAGTGAAGTGAAGTAAATCATTATGTTAAGTGAAGTAAATCAGACACACAAGCTTAAATATTGCGTGGTTTCTCTTATATGAGAAACTTGATATATAATAAAGTGCCAAATAAAAGACAGATATAGAAAGAAAAAAGTTATTGTAGTCCAGCATGACTGATGTATCTAAAACTGTACCTTTATTTACTATAATTGTCTTCTGTTTTATATATTTTTTGGCCTGTTAGAGTGGCTGTTGATCTGTGTTTATCATAATTAACTTGATAAAGACATAAAATAAGTAAATAAATCTGTTATTGGAAAAAAAATAAAATGAGTAGAGAGGAAGGGGAAAGGAAAAGAATTGAGATGTGTTATGTGCATGTACCAGTTCCCCACAATTAACGTAATCAAAATGTATTGCAAACATGTAGTAATAAAAATTAAAAAAATTTTAAATATATAAAAAATAGTGCATTTTTGGCCAAGGATGATGGCAAACACCTTTAATCCTGTATGCTTTGTAGGCTGGGGCAAGAGGATCACAAGCTCAAGGTTAGCCTGAGCAAATTATGGAGGCCCTGTTTCAAAGTAAACAATAAAAAGGCTGGGGGGATAGTTCAAAAATAAAGCACCCCTGGATTTGTTCCCCAGTACTACAAAAAAAAACCCCCACAAAAACAAGACAAAACAAAAAACCAACAGATTTCTAAAACACAGGCTATGTTGTCCTTAAAACAGTGAAAAACCAAACCAAAAATAAAAAACCCAAACCCAAAAGGCCATAGCTCCACAACTGTAATGATTCAACTCATAATTTTAAATATAGTGAAGATACAATTTATCGTCTGCTTTTCTCACTTTGCATTATTGTAAATATCTTTATGTTTTGCTCCAAGATTCTCAAACATTTTAAAATTTCTTTTAAAACTATCCATGCACAATAGTTTTTCTAAAGTGCATTTGTGTTGTTAATTATTGTAAATCATAATAGCAAAGTGATCAAAACCAAGTCATCAGTAGAATAAAAGACTATTAAATTTCAGTTATCCTCTCAAAAGTTTTAATAATTAGAAGTTTAATTAGTATGCCAGTTTTCTTAAAGGATTAATGATTAATGAAATAAAGATATATAATATTAATGGTTCAGGAAACATCTGCATTTGCTGGTTAGAACACTTAAAAGACTCTAGGTAAATACACAAAGAATTCTAAATAACTTAGCTCCTACTTGGTAAATTAGCCCTGCTTTGTCCTACACAGTGTCTTGAGTGACCTTGAAAGTTTTTGTTTCTACAGAGTTAGCATGTTTACTGTAGCCTTTAGTGTGTATCTCTCCTTTTCCATACAGAGCAGCAGTCTAGCTGAGAAAATTTGCATTGATGTGCTTGTAGATAACACTATAAACTGCCTTGAAAAATGTGAATGAAAGTTATAGGATCACTGCAGACAGAGCATGGGCACATTACAGATTTTAGTGGTTTTTAATTTCGATGAGAGTTTTTATAAGGTAGATACCATCACTTTCTTTCATGTACATGATATTGACAGACTGGTTAGCGTGTCTCCTTTCTCCCCTCTTTCAGTTTTTCCCTTTTTTCTTCGTCACTCCTTCTCTCCCTTCTTTCTTTCCCTTTTTTCTTTGTGCCTCGCCTCTTCTATTCTTCTCTCTTTGACTTCACTAAGCATTCATGTATCTCCATATATATATATATATATATATATATATATATAAATATATATATCTGTCTATCTTGAGGCAATCACACAAACAGGCTGTACAAATCCCAAATCAAATTCCCATCCCTAATATGCTTAGTCTGTTCCTTGGAAGTATAAATATTGTGCTAAAGTAATTTATGAAATACCGAACATTTTGTAATGCCCTTGATCCTAAATGTTTAGTTCTGTAGATGTAATTTATAATATAGCAAAAGGTTGGTTTGTTTTTATGATTCTTGAAGGTTTATTTGTTTGTTATTAGGTACACACTGCCTGCAAAGATTTATACCACCCCGTATGCCCACTTGGCCAATGTAAAGTATCTATCATACCTCCAATTGCACTGAACAGCACTGACTCTGACGGTATGTAACAGTAGTGTAAGTATGTGCACTTCTGGTATATTTAATGCTGATATGTACATTGATTTTCCTAGAATAAATATAACTGTAACACATTATTCTGATCAGTTTTATATAATGATTCCACTTAAATTGTTGAATAGTACATTTAATTTTTAAAAGAATATTTTAAGTGGAGTTTATAACATAGCTATTTACACATTGGTGAAATTACCATGTATAAGACTTTTAGATTTTGCATTTCGGTAAACAAAGAAAGATCATTATTCTATATTGAAGTGTAATCTAAAAAGATTAATTTTTTTCTCACCATAATTGAACAGCATGGCTGTTACTAAAATTTGTTTCCTATCATTTATATTCCGATAAATGCGTTCACTTTTCCAGTCTTTCAACTTATTTGTTTGTAAATGCTGAGGAAACTTTTACAGCCCTGGTTTGGGGGATAGCATGCTATTAGTTATAATTTCCTTCTAAACAAGCCACATTAAAAAGGGCTTTTACCATTTACCATTATTAATGCCTTGCATTGATAGCATGCTTTATGCTTTTCAAACTTTTTATATAAATTTTACCAGTAGATATGTTAGATGTAAGTATATAAATCTTAAAAGATGTGATTTGTTTTTAACCTATGCTGTTGATAGTTCCATCCACAGTCCCCAATATATCAAGGTTCTTTTGTTTGTTATAAATTTTAAATATTTTCTCAGGGGTCAGCAAGGAGCAGTTAAAATATTTTAAAATGCTAATTATAAACATATGGATTCTTTGCCAAGTGTGGGTTCATAGACCTGTGATTAGTTTTTATAATTAAGTATTGTTAATAGGTAGTATTCTCAAAGTATATGTGATTTATGTACTTTTGTCAGCTTTTGGTATGATTTTTCATTATAGAGTAATAAATAAGGTTCTTTATTGTGTGTGCCTGTGTATGTGTTAATAGGGCCTTTGTACTGAGATATATCGCCAACTCTTTCCAAAAAAATTTTGTAGACAGGGTCTGACAAAGTTATTAAGTTGCCTAGGCTGAACTCAAATTTGCAGTCCTCCTGCCTTAGCCTCTTAGAGTGCTAAGATTACAGTCGAGTGCCACCATACTTAGTTTAGAGTATATTTTAAAAAGGTAAGCTATATTCTTAGTATGTAAGAGGTAAGCCTGTCTGCATTTAGGGGGCTAAATTATAACTGGATGTTCCAACAGTAAATAAGGTTCTTTATGAATTTATCTTTTTCTCTGAATAGTGTGTTAATAATTTAAAAGAAGCTGTATGTGCTGATCTTGTACTTTTTTTTTGCAGGTTTCTGTAGAGCAACATTTTCATTCTGTGTTAGTCCTCTACTGGTTTTTGTCAATTCTAAGAGTGGAGATAATCAGGGAGTAAAGTTCCTTCGTCGTTTTAAACAGCTGCTAAATCCTGCTCAGGTGTTTGATTTAATGAATGGAGGTCCTCATTTAGGGTAATTCATTATTGATAAATCTTATTTTTTAAAAATGTAGCAAATGTCTAACTTCTCAGATCTTGAAAATTGTAGATTCTTCTAGACATTTCTGTGTCCATCTTCCACCCCCTCCCTGTTTAAAATTCTGATTAAAAGTTTTGTGGTTTTTTGTTTGTTTTTTTGAGACAGGCTCTGTATCCCAGGCTGGCCTTAAACTGCCTATATAGCCCAGGCTGGCCTTGAATTCATGGTGATCCTCCTGCCTTAGCTTCTCTTGTACTAGGATTACAGGTGTGCACCACCACACCTGGCTTCTGATTATAAGTTTTAACACAATCTTTTCAGCAGTTATTCAGCTTCTTTATATGAAATCCAAATTTTTTACTGAAATTTCCAAGTTCCAAAATTTGTTTAGAAAATGATTTAGAACATATCTTCCATCCAACAATTTGTTTAGCTCCAAAAATGACCATATTACATAAGTATAAAATAATTTGCATGGAAGACTGATACTAATTTTTATGTAGTACACATAATCAGTGCCTTAACTAAGAAAAGGTACTGTCATGGATCTCAAGGACAGTTCTTGAAGATTTCAGACTCGGTTAACATAAATTCCAAAGAAACGCTTCTGTTGAGTGTTTTTTTCATCCTTCTATGATGTCATATAATTTAAAATCTGAAAAAGATTAAATCATGTTTTCACTGAGAGGCAATGTGCCTTGAAACACAATTCATACCCTTTTATGCTATGTACGTGACTTCTTAAGAGGTGATACTTGTCTTCTGCTAGAGGGGCCTTCAATCTTTGTATGATTTGCTTAGTGCCCCCCCCACCCCCATTTTCTCTTGGGTTCTAAAGACCTTGAAGAATGCACACAGAGGTGGAAATGGAGAATTTAGATACCAGTGCCTAGAAAAGCATTGTGTGGTTTATAATTTGACACTTTCTTCTGTCTTCTCTGTTTCAATCTCTTTTTGTGCCTCTTGTCACATTCGTCCCCTCAGGGTCTTTTGTCTGGTTCTATTGTCTGCTCATGCTGAGTGTCAGGTCATCTGGTCACATAGACCTTAGTTGTATTCATTTATACCCACCCTCTTTCTCAGCCACTTGTAAACTTCTTCCTTTCCTGTTGGCACTCTAGCATTTCCCCTTGGAACCTCTCTTCTCTTGTCTGCTCTGTTCTTAGATAGTTTTGTCCCCTTTTCTAACACATTTGTTTTATAATCCTTCATAGTTCCATTATCTTGCTTTTTCCTTTTTCTTTTTGCATTGTATTGCTACTGGGGAGTAAACTGAGGGCCTTATGCATGTAAGCAGGTGTTGTACCACTAAATCATGCCTACAACTCTCTCTCATAATCATGATACTTATTTTATCCATTCATCCTCTAAGCTTCCAAGAGTCTGTCTTTGTGAAATGTCTTGAGGTGGTTCTACAATATATTTTTCAGATTTTTCATAATACTTGAGGTTTATATAGACACATTGAGGAGATGGAATGTGTCAAAGTTGAGATGAAGGAAGGTAGAAGTCAAAGGACCTGAAACTAGGAGGGAAGGAGAACGGGGGAGTTAACAGTACTAAGGGCATAAATCTCTTGAGGAACTGACTTGTTGCAGCCCAGTAGCATCCCATCCAAAATTCTCTTCCCTTGGTTTGTAGTTCTTAATGAAATAACATTAATAGAAAGAGAAAAATCACTACTTTTATCATCTCTAATTACTTTACCTTTAGTTCTCTTTCCATTTTATTTGTTCTCACTTCTCAATCCCCTTTCCTTCTAATTTTGTCTGTTTCTGCTTATGATTTGCTTTCCTCTGATTCAGAAGTTTTCTTCAGTTAAAAATTGCAGTTGAATTAATTTTTATAGTTTAATTAATACATAAGTAAAAGTTCTTATATTTAATCTGAAAATTAAAATGCCAGTGAAATTATAATGACAAAGAATTAAGGGAAGTGATTTTTATTTTACTAACATAAAATACATTTTACTTTCAGTTTAAGATTATTTCAGAAATTTGACAATTTCCGGATTCTTGTTTGTGGAGGAGATGGAAGTGTAGGTTGGGTTTTGTCAGAAATTGATAAGCTCAACCTGAATAAACAGGCAAGTGCTATTTTTTTTTTCTTGCTAGTTTACATGAATGCATACTAATTACTTGCCAGAGAGATGTAGAAATGTAACAGTTAAAATTTGCGACATGTCTGAAAGTCTCTGCTTTGCACTCTCTTGTAGTGTCAGCTGGGAGTATTGCCTTTGGGCACAGGCAATGACCTTGCTCGAGTTCTTGGCTGGGGAGGTTCATATGATGATGACACCCAACTTCCTCAGATACTAGAGAAGCTGGAACGAGCCAGTACCAAAATGTTGGACAGGTAAAAGAGAATCCTAATCTGGACTGAAAATGAGACACTAAAATCTTTTTTTTAATAATTGAAATTGTACTCACTGTAAACCACATTGAAGGCAGACACTTCTGGTCATCTGGTCTAGTCCACTGTTTGATCACTGAGATAGAGACAATGCTTCCACAAGTTGACACTCAATAAAGATGTTTTTTGAGTGGATGAATAAGTTTTAAAAATCTGAAAAAACTACTCCAAAGAATCCATTATTTTATAGGTTGAAGACTATGTTGATACTAATTGCTTTTAATGTTTGTTCACATAGGAAAGCTAAAATTGCTAATTTCATAGGGAGGTTTTCATGAGTATAAAAAGTAGAGCTCTATTATTCTTGTAGTTTCAGAAGAACTAAGAAAGACATATAAACTTTAGATTTGTTAGAACATCTTTTCTTCATTTTACATATTAAGAATTGACCCAATAAGGAATTGAATATTTAAAAAGATAAAAGAATCTTGTTCCCTGTACAGGGAAGTATTAGGAAGACAGCTGTTAATTATCACTGTATTTATGCTGTCCTTAATCACATCATAGCTATTTTCTGAATGGCCCATGTATAAAACAGAAATCACAGTGAGTGCAGCCTCAGTGTTGTGGAGAAGCTGTTTGGAGGAGGTGAAGGGAAGAGCAGGACTCAGTAAGCAATAATTACCCCACCCCTGTGAGTAGAAGACAAATGTCAAAATATCATAATAGACTTGAGCCAGCATGAATCAAAACAACTTTGATAGGATTAGCCATCTGTGGAACTCTTCTCCAAAATAACAGAATCTCATCAGGGAGCCGCCAATCTAAAATGCAATTACTCTAAGACAAACTATAACCTAATTAATTTTAACCTTGTCTGTCATACGGTAATGTAATGCGTGATTCTTTTGCTGACAGATATTTAAAGAGAGCCGGACAGTAAAACATTTGTTTATATTTATTCACAATTATCAAGAGAGACACTCCTGTAGTTTGAGTGTATCATAAAGGTTTATAATCTAAGGTGGAGCTGGCTTCTGTTTTTTTGAAAAAGCTAACTCTGAGATGGTGGATAGTTAACTAGGTTTATTGTGGTGAGGTTTTATGTGGTTCATGATGCATAGATATACCAAAGTATAAAGTACACTTTAAACATAGACAGTTTTTGTCAGTTGCACCTTAATAAAGCTGAGGAAAAAACAAGATTTGAAATAAGTAAATAAAATCAACATTATTTATAAAAGCTCCTAGAGGTGATTTCCTGGATAGCTGTCCAATTCTGTGCTTACCAAAAAGTACAGAATATTTTAAATGCTTTCGTACTGATTTATGTCCCCTCCTGCTGCATCCCAGGACATACTGCTAGGTATTTCTTCTCTGGATGTGTGCTTTTCCCTTGCCTGTTACAGAAATTAACTTTTCTGAAAGAGAAACCTTATGGTGAAATTCCTTGATCCCAGCAGGCCTGTAAAAAATACAAGAAGAAAAATCAACATGGATTCAAAAGCCTAGGACTATTATTAGAAATACAAGAATATTTGATTCCTGTGTTTTCTTTACTAATTTACTATTTATAAAAATAAAATAAAAGGACTCCAGGCATGGTGATACATACCTGTAATCACAGCTACTCAGGAAACTGAGTCAGAAGAATTGAAAGTTCCAAACCAGCCTGAGAAACATAGTGAGACCTTGCCTCAACATAAAAAATATGAAGGTCTGGGGATGTACCTGATTGGTAGAGCACCGCTGAATTCAGTCCCCAGTACTGCAAAAACAAACAAAACTGGTGACCCCAAAACCAAACAAAAAGAAAAGTCAAAAAAGAACCACTGTTTAATATTCTACCATATATATATATATATATATATATATATATATATATACACACATTTATTTGATCTTCAAAACAACACTGTGGGATGACTTTTACTTAGAAAAGCATTATTATCACTGCTTTACAAAGATGTAAATTGAAACTTCTGGAGACAGTGATATTTTTTGTCTGCCAGTACTGAAAGTTGTTTTATTTAATCATCACTGCACTCAGAGAGAGAGCCAATGTTGTCATCTCCCTTTTCCCGATAAAAAGGCTCAAGAGGGTTTTTCACATGATGAGAGTTACATAGCTAATAAGTACTAGAACTGGTGCTCTAAACTGGAATCCATACTTTAGTTGCTAGGGTCTTTCCTTAACATTGCACTCTCTCCCCCTTAAAGCATGTGTGCACCAGAGAAGTTCTAACCTTCTGGTTTCTACTTCTGTGTACCTGGTACTAATACGTACTTCTGCCTGAAGCTTTCCTCTCTTTCTGCCACTTTCTTCTGTTTCTTCAGCTCCAACAATTTCCTTCCAAGGAGGGAGATACAGCATAGAAGGCATAGACGTTGGGTGGATTTCGTTCCCTTTTTTTTAACTGACTTTTCTCCAGAGAATTGTTTCCACTGTTTTCTCTGTTTGGAAATTTGCAAATTCACTTACTTTGTTTACTTATATTATCCCTGTTTTCTGTGCTACAATATGTGCTTCATTTAGGGGCTCCTTCACTCTTGTGTCTCTAGAACTTGTCTGTCACTTTGAGACTTTTGATATGTATCTGTTGCGTGGATGGAGGGATGGCTAAATGGATGAACGGTTTTTGATGCTCGGATGTGAATTTCTTTATAATATTTTTATGTGAAGAGTTGGACAGTAGCTATAAGTAACTGTTCAGCTTACATATCTTACCACATGACATGGGACTATTGGAAGAGTTTCTGGGAATTCAGGTTTTTATACATAGACCTAATAGTCTGGATGATACACTCATCTCTGTTAAAATATTGATCTTGGTTTACGTCTAGGCTCCATCACTGGCTTCAGCTGTTTTATGCTTTTCTTAAAATACATTTATGACAGTAGTGCTTTTATTAATGCTTTGTGTCCTTGTAAAATCTATCTTACATCTTTGAAGTCTACAGTGAGGTCCTGGTCCAGTTGCTTTTCCAGAATTTGGAAATTATTATTTTAGATAGAAGACTGGAGTTATCCTGAGTTGTTTATGTTTCTCTAACACCATGTGATTCAATATTTGCTTTGATACTAATACTTATAGTTAATTGAAATAAATATGCTTGAAACAAATATTATTTACATGAAGTTATTTCCCTCAATCCCATTCTTACATTTATTCTTTCTTAAAGTAAGAAGTGGTATTTATCTAACATTTTATGTATGTATGTATGTATGTATGTATGTATGTATGTATATATGTATAAGCTGCTTTGGCAAAAGTGGTTGGTACATAGGCAATGGTTTATTTTCCATAGGTAGTATGTGTTTATTTAATCTAACAGTGATGGAGAACCTTTTAGAGACTAGTGCCTGACCTGCAACCTAAAACTCACTTAATTATGGCAAAATGGCAACACTGCAGTTAAACCTGAATACTGAGGTTTTTGTTTAGAAAAAAAAAGTCATACATTAACATCTTTTGTTTTAAAAGAAAAACAACACACTTGCCATAGGTTTGCCACCACTAAGTACTAGGACACTGTTTTAGAACTCTGGGTTGGGACTCTTTATTAAATCTAGTAAGTAAAATTGCAGTGAGCATTATTTTAAAAGTAGAACATAAAAAGAAGAAAAAAGTCAGAATGCATTGTACCTAATGAAGAATAGTATTCTTGTTACATATGAGCATTTCTTACTGTGGAAAGTATTCAAGTGTTTGGAAGTCATTAATTTAGAGAAATGGTAAAATGTGGAAATCATAAATATGAATCCAATAATTTGAGAATACCAAAATTTCATCTCTTTCTTCATTTTTGGTTAAGATAAAATAAAATCATAGCATATTATTTAAATTTTAAAGGAATTTTGGACCAAAGAATTTTCTCCCTTCAGATGGAGTATAATGACATATGAACTCAAATTGCCACCGAAGGCTTCTCTACTTCCTGAACCTCCAGAAGCACCTGAAGAATTCTATGTAAGATTCAATTCTGCCTATTTATCATTTGAAATGGGGGTGGATAGCTTGGGAAAAATGAGAAAACTTACTCATAATGGGAATAACATGCCTACTTCATTTATTTTCATAGGGTTGTATGATTTTGTTGACTACTTCTAGTTAGACTGTGACCATCCACACTGGGAGCATGACCTTAACCAAGTCACTCACCTTTAGGGCCTTTGTTACTTCATCTGTAAAGTGAGGCTAATGTGAGGATTAAATGATGCAACAGATGTATGTGGAGCACCAGGCATGCAAGGTCCCCTTCTTTTGACCCAGTAGTTCTCTCTAAATATTCTACCTACCCCTTTCCTTTTTCATCAGCAGAGCTCCAGCAGAGGCCAGCTGGTGGCAGCCTCCTGTCACCTTCTGCTCACCTTCTGCATTGGTTGTGAGCATCCATTTGATTATGAGATATTAGCCTAGCTGCCATCATCCCTTCAGCAATCTCCATGTAAATCAGTATATGAAGCCAGAATATTACATAAATTCTTAGTTCTTTGCCTGGTCTTTGAAAAGGGCAGCAGGACAAGGTTAAACCTGTTGATCCAGAGAATACAAAAGACAGCTCACTTTATTTTGTCCCTGCTATAGACCACAATGTCTCAGCTTTTCAGAGGATTTTAAAGATTCAGCATTCTGATTACACCTCAAAGCACCAGAGATTTAAAACAACCCAAATTTCAGAGGATTATTTTCTGACTCATTAAGACCATTTGATCTGTGATAGCTTATTTTTCCCTCTAGGAAAATACATCAGTTTATTTTACAGCTGAAGTCTTTGTGTTGTCATTAATAAATTATGATCTTGTCAAAACTAAGGCAGGGAATGGTAATTAGAAATGAATGTTTCTTAGAGAAGCTAATAGTACTTTTAAAACTTTCTTATATAAAAGTAAAAATAATTGCTACTACAGAGTTTTAAAAATAGAAAATTATATGAAAAAGAAAAGAAAAATCACTTATAGTCCACTGAAGATTAATATGTTTGCTGCTTTATTTCTGACAGCATTTTTCATTATAATATTACTCTACCTGGTTATAGCCATCATACATGTTTTTAGAGAAACCAGTCTTTTCTCAATAGTATTTTTATAAAGTTTTTTTCAAAAAAAGGAGAGGGGAGTTCTTTTGTTTTACTTGAGAAAAATATCATTCTTTTGTTTTACTTCAGAAATATGTTATTTCTGAGCATATAAAATAAAGGTAGATAATTAACTTCCATCATTTATATGTAACTGCACTTTAAAACTGGGGTATAATTATAAGTACATGAAAGAAATATCTTACTTTTTTAGCACAAACAGGCTTTGAATGAAACTTCATTTTGTTTTTTAAAACTTATTTTTATAACAAAGGGATAACATACTTTAAGATTACAGAGTAAGTAAAATATGTATGACTCTAGAACCAAATCAGCCTCTAGCTGAAACCCAGAATACACTTTACTATGCATAAATTTTTTCTTTTAACCTTGAAAGCTGCACTAAAAAGAAGTTAAATCTTTCCTATTGGTTTGTTGACACTTCACTGGCTAGGATCTTAGACAAAGTACTTAGCTCATCTTAGTCTCAGGTTCCTTGACTATAAAACATGACAATTAAAGGGGTAAAAATATACAAAATGCTTAAGCACAAGAAAATATGTTAACTCTAATTATCACTTACCTTCCTGACCCTGCTAAGTGATTCTCTAATAGGTTAATAAATGACATCTGTACATTTTTATTTTTTTCCCTCTGCGGGACAAAAGAACAAGCCTGGGCCCTCAAGCATGGCAGGCAAGGGCTCTGCCACTGAGCTAAGTCCCAGCCTCGATATCTGTAACTTTTGTATGTCCAAGGGGACATACAAGTTAACTTTACTTTCCTCTGAAAGAGGTAGCATTTTTTTGTCTTTGAATGTATTTAATGAACAAAAACTTGGATTTTTAAATGTAGGTTTCAAGTGACATTACTCAAATGATACTAATTAATAAATTAACCAATGGCATTACTGGTCATTTAAAATATTTTCCACCCCGAAGGGAAGACAATAAAATGATCTCTGGAGAACATTTTTTTATTTTGCATTTTTAGAACATATATTTTCATTTCCTAATCTTTTTTTATTAAGTTTATTATTACATTTTACGTATAAAATACAGTTACATTCATCGTTGGGATCTTATACCTTTACATGATGTATCTTAGTTCTTAATTTTTCCGCATTTCCCTGCCCTCCCTTCACCCTCTCCACCCTTCCCTATTTACAAGACTTTGTTTCCATTTTTTCCTTTTTTCATATTTTTTCTTTTCCCTTCTTTCCTTTCCCCTACCCCTCCCACTTCCCCAACTCCTTTAGACCTTTTCTTCCTATTTCACATTATCAGTTATACCATTTGAACCTTATTTACACTTTAGTTTTTTACATCAGAGAAACTATTTGGTATTTACACATGTGTGTCCTATTTATTTCACTTAAGAGTATGGCCTCAAGTTGCATCCATTTAGCTATATGGCCGAGTAGTACTCCATTTTATAGAAAAACCACATCTTCTTTATCCAGTCTCCAGTTGATGGGCATTTGGGCTGTTTCCAAGTTTTAGCTATTACAAACTGTGCTGCTGTAAACATGGGGGCACATATATCACTGTGGTATGATTCATTTAATTCTTTTGGAAAGATACCCAGCAGAGGGATAGCTATCTAGAATATATAATGAACTCAAAAAAAAAACAGACCCCCAAATATAAAAACCCAATTCAAAAATGGGCATCTGAAATGAACAGATATTTCTCAGACAAAGAAGTAAAAGCAGCAAATAAATATATGAAAAAATGTTCAACGTCACTTGTCATTCAAGAGATGCCCATGAAAACAACACTGAGGTTCCACCTCACCCCAGAAAGAATGGCTGCTATCAAGAGATCAACCAATAACAAATGTTGGTGGGGGTGTGAGGAGAAAGGAACCCTTCTCTATTGTTGGTGGGAGTGCAGACTGGTGCAACCACTGTGGAAATCATTTCCTAATCTTTACAGATCCAGTTTTTAGTATTTAAGCCAGCAGATCAATAACATGGACTTGAAGATTGTTACAATATTATAACTTTGGAGTTCCTGTTTTCCCCTAGTTTCTTTGATGTAAAATTGCTTTTCTATTTGTGGTGTGCCTTTGAAAAGGATAAGAAAAACTTAAAAGAGTATCATACCCACCTAGCCACTGCTGGACTTGATAGTAAGTTAGGAATGAGAATGCTTTGAGGAAGAAGCTGGTCAGAAAGGCATCATGGGAGAAAGGGCATTAATTGAATCTGCACTTAAGTCTGAATAAAGTGATGCTCATTCTTAAAAAGCAATGAAGAGCTAACAGAGTAATGCAGAAGAACATTGGAAACCAGTTTGAATAGGGCATCTCATTTATACTGAATAGTTTTGAGCTGTGTGACATGGAATACGTGAGGCAAACATTTGATGAAAGTCTCTCAATATGAGGCTGTTTAAATGTTTTGCATATCTTGTCATATTAGGAAGATGTTCTCTTTCAAGAGGAAGTTAAAGTTTGTGTAGAATAGAAAAGGGGATATAGGACACTTCGCATCTTTTCATTACTTAAGAGAAATATTTCATGATGTATGATTACATATATGATTGACTATGTGATTGCAGTTTTTAAAATTTTTTGTTGAAATATGCCTATCAAATGTGTGCAGATTATAGCTGTATAGCTTGATAAATTTTCACAAACTAAACAAACCTACCTAATCAATACCCAGATCACAGGACAACATTCAAGTACCCCATATCCCCTTTCAGTCACTACCTCCCACCTCCAACTCATAACTACTAATAACAGCACAGAGTAGTTTTGTCTCTTTTTATATTTTATAAAATAGTGTATGTACCCTTTGGCCTCTAGATCCTTTTACTTCAACATGTTTGTCAGATTCATGTATGTTGTGGTGTAGTTGTGAGTCATTTCTTATTGTCCTACAGTATTCCATTGCAATATTGAGTGAATGCTGTGTGGTTATTCTAGTATATGTCTTTTGATGAATATTCATATGCGTTTCTTTTTTTTGGTACCGGGGATCGAACTCAGGTCCTTGGCTTGCCAAGTAGGCAACGGAACCACTGAGCTACATCCCTGGCCCAAAATTAGCATCAGGATGAGCTTTTTTTTTTTTTTTGGTACCGGGGATCGAACTCAGGTCCTTGCCCTTGCACAGCAGGCGCCGAAACCACTGAGCTAAATCCCCGGCCCTCATATGCGTTTCTTTTGGATAAATATAAACATATATAGTTTTTGTGTCCTGTTGTACATATGATCAGCTTTTTAAATTTTTGTTTTTTCTGATACTAGGGACTCAACACAGGGCCTTTGCACTGAGCTACATCAGAGCAAAATCTGGGGAGCTTTTTTATTTTTTATTTTGAGACAGGGTCTTGCTAAGTTGCTCAGGCTGGCCTCAAACTTGGAATTCTCTTGCTTCAGCCTCCTGGTGTGCTGAGATTACAACCATGCTCCACCATACCCAGCTATATATGTCCAGCTTTAATAGACACTATCAAATAGTTTTCTAGAGTGTTTATATAAATTTGCACTCCCCTCAGCAGTGTATGAGGGTACTATAGAGCCACAGTTTTGCTAACACATGCCATTTTCCATTTGTTGCTGTTTTCATTCTGGTAGGTATATGGTATATTATGTTGTGGTTTTAGTTTGCATTTGCCATGTGGCTGATGATGTTGAACACCTTTTCATCTGTATATGGATCATTAGGGTATTCTACTTAAATCTCAAGTTCTTTTGTTCCATTTTTAATTAGTTTGACTTATATTTATTTTAAAACTTTTCATATTTTTAAGTATTAGACACTTAACATTTTTTTAAGAACAGATTTTATGGCTTTCTCTAAAAATATAAAGTGTTCCAAAAACTGAAAGTCTTTCACAGAAAGGAAATACTTATCTATTTTGCTTTATGACTCTTTTTTTATTATAGCCATTGCTCTGTCCATATATATCATGAATGGTTCCACTTCTGAAGCAGTAATAACTGAGTTGTATAAATACCAAAAATGATAATATAGTGTAGAGCTTTTTCTTTTTCAGATGACAATTTATGAAGACTCAGTTACAACTCATCTTTCAAAAATCCTCAATTCTGATGAACACGCAGTGGTCATATCGTCTGCCAAGTGAGTTGTGGAGTCTCAGGTCATGATAGCTAGTTAAATGGTAAAAATAGAAGGAAGGCTGCTTGCTATCAATTCTTTGTTGTTTTTCTTTTCAAGAAATACCTGTGAAGTAGCTTATAGAATTAGTTATACTAAATTTAACAGACTTACAAATGGTAATTGTTTGCGGTGGTATTCTTTCCAGCAACAGGAAACAGTACCTAAAAAAAGGAAAAGAAACCTAGGGGCGGAGGATGTAGCTCAGCGGAACTGTGACTGCCTGGCAAGCGCAAGGTCCCGAGTTTGATCCCCAGTACTGGAAAATATACAAAATCAAAACCTAGTCTCAAGGCAAGAACAGCACAGTGGTTGGTGCAGGCAGAGATGAGCTGCAGTCTCTAGCAGGCAATGCTGCTGATTGATTTGTGTTTGTTTAATGAATTGTATGCTATATAGTGAAATGCACAGATTTCCAGTTTATCCGAGGCTCAACACCACTGCTGTCTTCCTCCTCCTGGGTCCTGGGTTTCTTACCTTGTCCCTGCACGATTTGACTTGTGCCCCCCCCCCCCGGCTCATCTTGCCTTGTGAATCAATGGATATTTCAGAGGACATTGCTAGAAAAGGAGAGTGGAAAGAGACACTTTAGAAGAGTATAACACGTTATAAAATAACTATTCTTTGTTTAATAAACTCTAGTTAATATTTTATCCTACCACCTTTTACAGTTGGATACTAGCAAAGCCTCGTTCACTTTCTTGTGTTTGATGCATTTGATCACTATTATTTAGTCACTATTATTGATCACTATACATTTTATATGTTTTTAGTCAAGTGAAATGCATATTATAAGATGAGGACAGCTGTAAACAAGATCATAGTGGCAGCTACCAACCCCTTTGTCTCTCTTACTATTTTTATTAATCTTTTTTTTTTCTTTTGGTACTGAGGATTGAACTCACCAAGTGTTGAGCTCCACCCTTAGCCCTTTTTATTCATTTATTCATTCACTGAGATAGGATCTTACTGTGTAGTTCAGGCTGACCTTAAATTCACTATGTAGCCCAGGCAGGCCTTGACCTTATGGCTATCCTCCTGCTTCAACCTCCTGATTGCTGGGATTTAGTGTGCACCACCATGCCTGACCCTTTTAAAATTTTGAGATCAGATCTCACTCAGTTGTCCAAGCTGGCCAGGAATTTCCGATCCTCCTGCCTCGGCTTCCTGAGTAGCTGGGATTATAAATATGCATCACTGGGCCTGGCATCATTCGTAATGACTATGTGTAGTCTGACATTCTTAGCAGTGGAAATATTTTTTAAATAAAATCTTATACAGGATCCTGATATTAAAAGATTAAAATTCTGCTTTGTCGATGTTAATCAGTTGGATAAAATTAAACTATTAAAGCTATTTATGAAAAATTAAGCCATAAGGTTAGAGATGACAGAGTCATATTTATTGCTGTTTCTAATTATTTCTGTATTTTATTTTGATTAGTTGTAAGGATATTATCTTCTGATATTGTAAGTATTAGTTAAATAAGATTGCAGAGATTCTTTAATTCAAAATTTGCATAAAAACTAGTAAATTGTAAAAAAATATTAACATTTGTCTCAATGTTTCTAATGATCATTCGAACATTTAAAATATTATTTGCTGTATTTCTAAATGAAATTCATAATAAGCACTTTTGAAATTCTCCAAGTATTTAGAGAACAGTTTAGAAATCACTGCTGTAAGGAAATTTGGGTCTTGTTGACACCCATTTGCCAGCTTTGTGAGCTATGTCTATTTTTATCAGTATAAAAATGAGAATGCCTATTATTTCTCTTTCATGGAACTATTAAAATTAAATGCAGTAATAAACACAGAGAATATAACTACAGATTGCTGCATTAAATTATGGTATTATTACCTCCTTTGTTCAGCTACATTTCCACTTTTTTTCTGTGACCTTGGTTTAGGCTCTGATCTTAGCTCTACCTTTGGGTTTCTCTCCAACCAGTTCTCTTGCTTTAAGTAATTGCCTTCCCACTTTGGTCCCCTCTTGTGACTCCTCTGTGAGTATAGGCCTGCTGCTGTCCTGCCATTGCAACCCCACATTAGGATTTAAAGGGTTTGGACTGAAGAGTTCAAGAGATGAAAGAGAGGACAGAATATAATACCCTTATACTAATTTTATTTTTATGGACATTTTCAAACTTAGATAAAAATAAAGAGACTGGTATAATAACTTCCTACCATACAATCACTCAGCTTTAGTATTTACCAACACTTTGCCATCTACTTTCACTCTATTTTGCTGTACCTTTAGACAAATGCAAGAAATCATTTATTTTACTTCATTTTCAAATGTGGGTATATGTATACAATCTTTTAAAAATATAATTAAATTAATAATTCTCTACTACTATCAATATTACTCAACTCTTGTCCCAATCCTCCCAGTTATCTCCAAAGTTTTTTTCTTTTAAATAGTTGATTTATTCAAATTAAAATCCAAACAAGGTTCACACATGGCATTTGGTTTATGGCTCTTTAAGCTTTAAAAGCCCATGTTTCTTTCTGCTTAAAAGTCTTTATTGTAGTATCATGTATATATATACTATAGAGTACCCAAATCATAAGGCTTCAACTCAATGATTAGAAAAAATACCACACACACAGGCACTCATCCATGTAATCACCACCTAGATAAAATGTAAAATAAGCTGTTCCTGTCATTTGTTAATGCTATTTATTTGTTGAGGGATACAGTATTAAGGTAAAGCATTCTAACTTTTTTATACAATTTGATTTTTAAAATTTTTAAAATCTATAACGTTATTATGAAACACACATATACAAAAATTAAAATTATTCAAAGAAAAACAATGCAAGGGAAAAAAACCCCTATAATAATATGCAAATATAGAACTTAACCAAAACAAAACTGAAAAGTACTTAAACATTTTTCCATATAATTTAAAAAAACATCTCAAGCCTTAACAAGACATCAGAGGATGTGATTTGTTTTATAAAGATTTTCAAAACCAATATTGAACAAATAGTGGTCTGGAAAAAAAAATTCTAGTTAGCTAGTAGACTCCACATAGGTCAAAAAATTTTTTTTTAATTTAAATTTCAATAGTCATATGACACATGATGGAAATATAATCTGAGAAGCATATTATTAGGCAATTTCATCCGTGTGTATCACAAAGTACCACACAGAGTGCCAACTTCTAAGTACAAACTGAAAAGGTGTACATAAATCATCTGTGATGGCCCCTTGGTATTATCCAAATACACAGTTAAACACGAGATATGTGAGACTACCACTGGCATAGCAGCACACTGTTTTACAATATATTTTTATTTTTATTTTCATAAAATAATAATCCCCAGTAACCACAGTTGTTTTCTGCTATTTTAAAAATGCTGAAATGCTAATGGGAAAGCTCTGTTCCTTCAACATAGCTAATATTTAGGTTAACTAATGTAGTTAATGTAGGTTAACACCAAATACTATTCTTTGACTTTGGCTGAGATTTTATCAATTCAGTACTGTAACACTAAGTTATCAAAGTTCTAACTAGCAATCATAGATGGCATTTATTTTTAAAAAAGGGAGAATAGAACTATTAAATAAGTATCCTTACCTGGAATTTAAATGACTCTATTTTTTCTTTAGTCAGTAGTTTTTAAATCCCCACCGCCCCCCACTTTAGTTAATAGTTTTTATACTTATTAGCCTAGCAGTGTGTATTACTTTGGGTTTTTTGCTCACTAACTCTACTCACCCCTAACTTTAAAAATAAATGTAATTTTTTTGTATATAAAACTTCCAGAAGATGGGATAATTGGCATGAAAAAATAGAATTTAGATTCAGAATCTGGTTTAGAAGTAGTTCACACAAATCTAAGGTAAGTTTGAATAGATGAAGTGAAAAATATGGTTATTAAAAAATTTCTTCATACACGTAGATACCAAGGATATCTATATTAGATATAGATATTATATATTAGCATTAGTACTTCTAAATAACCTTTAGTTCCTAATTAGAACTTTTTATATGAGATTTTTAAAATGTATTTTTCAGGTCTTAATATGATTGTCCTTGCAGCCACTCTATAACTCTGTGTAGGCATCATGATCGTATTTACCTTAATAGAGTATTTGAATATTTTGTTGATATATCCCCTGTTTAAAAAAAAATAATGGAAAATAATAAAGATATTAATACTAGTGGTAAGAAGCCTTTATCTCATAAATATAATTGAGGTGATGGTAGAAAGCATCCTGTATAATATTGTTAGGTTCACCAGAATATTTGGTGCACACAGTTGACAGCATTTAACAGTGAAGGGTGAGAACAAAATAAAAGAAATAAAATTTTGAAAATATCTTATACAAAGTTCTTACATTAAGGATTATAATTAGGGGTTAAATTTTTTTTCTCTTATGTGAAAATTTATGTTCTATTTTTTAAAATTTTTATTTTTATTAGTACATGTTTATAGTATATAATGATTACATTCACTGTGGGGAGTTGTTACATGTATAGAACCCATCTTAATTTTTTTTCATCTGTGACCTTCTCCCTCTATCTCTTGGTCTCTATTTCCTAGTTTATTATCTATCTTCTATTTTGCTTTTTAATTTATTTATACTTTGGGTCTCTCATATAAGAAAGATTATGTGATACTTGTGTGTCTGATTTATTTCACTTATTATTCGTAACATTATGTTCTACTTTATTTGATTTTTGCATGTTTTCTAGAAGTCTATGTATTAAAATAGAAAAACATGTATAGAGACTGTCTTGTGTTATTGTAGTAAATACGTCTTAAAATTGTTTTTCTCCTATTTGCAAGTTTCCAGGTGGCACCACCTTAAAATCATGCTATTTTTAAGTATATATATCATTTTTATTTAAAAAATTCAGTATTTAGGTATAACAAAAGGTTAATTCATTCTTCTAGAATATAGATATCCTATAATTCTTTTAGAATATGGAACTTAATGGGCCATAGGCAGAGCACTGAACATTTCTTCTGATTCTTCCCACAATTTATGTGGCAAGCACATTCCTATTCATCATATTCCCATTTATCAGCTCTCTTTGCACAAGATTTATGAGATCAGTGTTCCTTCATTCTGTCCCCCACAGTGATATTGCCCAGGGTAAAGGATATTTCTGTTGTCCCTTTCACTCATAGGCTGATGGACAGAATGGTTTCTTTCCGTAGGAGTAAATATCAACAAAAGTAGTAATGATAGTAATATTTGGGCATATGCATTTTCACCAACTGAAGAGAAAAATATACCAAGCCAGTGTTATAATAAGGGCAAGAAAGGCCTCTGTTTTGGAGTTGCGCAAAAGGTGGGAGTGCTTATTTCCTTTCTCTAGAAGTAGGACAGCTTAGAGAAATTTTCAGTAAAGTCCACAGAAGAAATTTTACAGTAGACTGGTTTAATAGTTCAAGAAGTTCCATAAAAGTATTATCCATCAACAAAGAAGAAAAAACTTGAGGTACATGCATGTTTCTCATGTAAATGGTAAGCTAGATTCTTTGTAGAAATTCGAGATTAAAAAGCCAACAAAGAGGGCTTGCTATGTAGATCAGTGGTAGAGCACTAGCCTAGCATGCACAGGACCCTGGGTTCAATCCCTAGCACCACAAAAAAATTAAAAGTTAGCAGGTTGAAGGTTAGGAGACATTACCTTTGTCCAAGTGAATGTAGAAATAGCTGCCAAAAACCAACAAATGAATGTTGTTAGGAGCGATGGATTTACTTCCTATATGAGAAATGTGTAGGTTTAGCATACATGTGGATACATACAGTATATGTGTGCTGAATGGCTCAATTTTATAACATTTAAGTATCTGGAAGCTTATCAGTGTGCCACTCACCTATGAGAGAAATTGTGAATTTAATCGAAAAAAAAAACTGCTGAAAACTGTTTTTCTTTTCTTCACATTTCTTAATCTATAACAATGATGATAGAGACCAATACTACACTTTTTTTTTTTGGCTTTTTTGAGTCAGGGTCTCTCTTTGTAGTTCAGGCTGGCCCTGAACTCACTTTGTAGCCCAGGCTGGCCTCGAACTTGCAGTGATCCTCCTGCCTCAGCCTCCCGAGTGCTGCGATTACAGGCATGCACCACCACACCCGGCAATACTACACTTTTAAAATAATCAGCATAAGGTCTTCCTAAAAATAAACCCTGTACCATTCTGTTGGTAGTAGTTTTAAATACATCACTGGCTCCAAAGACCTTTGAAAGATGAATTTTGTTAATGTTTCAGGTTATTTTATCTTTCAGTTATTTCTTTTACAAAGAGACCAAATGTAATTAAAAAGAATGAAGTAAACCATATATTGCTGACACTAAGGAGACCTAAATTAAATTATTCTTGTATGTTATTGTATTGGTTATCTTAAGGGGAAAAATGAATGAATTTACAGAGAATATAACTCAGTTCAAGTGGCAGATTGGTTTGGAACATAATACACAACTTCTTTCCTCTTCGGGAGCAGTTTGTTATCAAGATAACCATATGATGAATAGTAGATGGACAGTGACGACATAAGTGATAAACCTAACCTTGTTTGTTCAGCACTGCAGTTTCAGTTGTACAACTGCATAGGCAATGAGAGATAATACATTATTTTTAAAGGAATTGAAAAATGCTCTTCTTAGGACTTAAAATATTTGAGAAAGGCCTGTTATAACCTTAAATGCAAGGTTTATTCATGTATCTGTTTCTGACTTGAATTCATCTAGGACGTAGTGTACTGCAGATGAAAGTATGGATGTTTATTATGAATGATCCAGGTATTTTGACAATTTGTCCATTTGTGCTTATTTTTAAATGCTTATAAATCAGAGCAAATCATTCAAATTTATTTTACTGAGTTGTACAATTTCTCTTTCTGAAAGGATACTGTGTGAAACCGTAAAGGACTTCGTTGCCAAAGTAGAGAAGGCCTATGACAAAACGTTTGAAAATGCAGTTGTAGCAGAAGCTGTGGCTACCAAAGTAAGAGGGATACTTCAGGGCATAAAAATTGTTTACTGGGGATGTTAACATCGGACCGTGCTTTAAACTGTGGTTAGATGATTGCTCTGCTAAAACATCATAAATCAAGGAAAAAATTACTTATGAATTAGATATAAGAATTTATCAAAAATATATTCTAATTTATGGTTATCTTTTAAAATGTAGGAAAAGTACCTTGCTAAAAGCCACGCAACAGACCATGTTTGATAATTCACATTCCCTTTCCAGTGACTGACATCTTAAAGGAGGTTGCACAGCAGTGAGACTGCCGGAGAGAATGCTGTCTGTGCAGCCAGCAACCCAGGAGCAGGAGAACAGCTTTCCATTTCCAGAGGAACTCTGGCCAACCCAGTTTCCTACCAGCACAAGCCCCTGGGTTCTTTGGTCCTTAGCCTTTTGCAAAGTTTTATTTCTTCCACTGCCTTTTTCTTTACAGACTTCTCCCCTTCATGAGCTTTCTGATGCTAAAATAAGTTTAGCTTACCGACCTTAAAAGCCACTATCTTTACTTTCATACGTTTATGAGAAGGCCTTCTTAGAAAAGGCATGGATATCTTGGGTTTGCAAAAGAATTGACTTCCCAAAATTCATACCGTAGATATTCTGAGTCAAAAGAAAAGAAAATGGAAATAAACATATATTTGAACTGTTCTTCCTTTTTTCTATTCTGGAGAGTTTCAGAAAACAAGAACCCTCTGTTAGTCATATTTTTGTTTCTAGACTTTTTCCTGTAACTTTGTCTTGAGATGTGTCATCAAGGATAAATAAAAGGAAGGAAAAAGGACTAGAAGTTGTGTGGAAGTTCTGTTTACTTTGCAAATTAGGGCTTCGAAGGCCAACTTGATAAGAGTTAAGCCACACTTGCAGTTTATGGTACTCAAAATGGGGCCATGTGTCAATTACCTTTTTAAAAGCAGGTTTAATGTTTTGTATAATATATCATGTTTTTGTGTATTGTGTCACATTATAGTGAATTATTTGTTGTGTTCTTTTAAGGAAAAATAGCCACAGAAAGGTTGTAAGGATTTTAATCCATGAAGTGAAGTTTGCATGATTCTGGAAGTATAAATCAATAAGTTCATTTAAGAATTGTGGTATTTTGTGTTTTAAAAATTATAAAATATTTACTCTATAGTATAAAATATAAATTATATTAGATAAATAATTTATAGTAAACATCAGTATAAGCATCTTCCCTCTAAATCAAAAACCACTAATTTAGATTATCATTTTCCATCTCCACTGACTTAAAATAAATGCCTCCTGAACCAAAACATTTACAAAATAAGGGGTGATAACTAGTTGCATTTTAGTGTTTTTCTCTTTAGTGATTAAACTTTCAAAACATCTTACATAAAAACTACTTGTATTCTGTCAGCCCATGTTTTTTCTGTTTGAATTTCTTCTTGCTTACTACCATACTTTTGTTTTCTTAGTGTTCAGTCTTAAATGAGAAGCTTGAACAACTGCTGCAAGCTTTGCACACAGATTTCCAGGCTGCTCCCACACTCCCAGGCATTGGGGCTGTCATCCTAGAAGAAGATGTTGTGGAATCTTCAAGTGAAGAATCCTTGGGTGAAAGCAAGGACCAGCTTGCAGAAGATATTACAAAATCTTCCTCCCAGAAAGCCATCAAACCAAGGGAAATAATGTTACGGGCAAACAGTTTAAAGAAAGCAGTGAGGCAAGTCATTGAAGAAGCTGGAAAAGGTACACATTAACAAAATTAGCTTTGGAAGAAGGTGGTGGCCTTCCTATTGCAAGTGTAATAAAGTTTTCATAATGGTCTGATTGGGCACACTGAAAAAAATTTTGAGGCACGATAGAGGTAGACAGATCCACTAAAAGGAAATTTGTATTTACTCCTGTTTTTTATTTTAGTCGTAAAAATCAGTATATTAATGATGCATAGTGTAAAATCTCAGAAATAGAGCTGGGCATGGTGGCATGCATATAATCTCAGCACTCTGGGAGGCTGAGGCAGGAGGATCTCAGGTTTCAGGGTAGCCTGGGCATCTTACAGACTTACTGAGACCCTGTCTCAAAACACATAAAAGGACTGGGGATGTACCTCAGATTAAACCCTGGGTTTAATCCTTAATACCACCTCCCCCGAAAAATCCACAATTGAGAAATAAATTAAGGTTAAACATTTCTATATTTACCTTAAAAAGAAAAATTATTTAAGCCAAATTCTAAAGTTTTTAATATTTTTTACTTAATTGGAAGCTGTTGAATTCTTAACCTGTAAACTACTTTGGAAATACAGAAAATATTTTAACATTAATTTTGTAAATGTTTGTTTCTTTTTTAAGAGTATACAAAATCTCTGCCTATATTTTAATTTTTATATTAATATAATGTCTATACTTAGAATTTTAGTAGACTAAAAGTTAATTTTGACATGGATAAGTAATGTTTGTTTTGGTATATTATAATTTTATTCTGATATATATATTTTTTAACAACTTTATAATCTCTGGTACTTCGAGATGTCACCCTCAAGTTTATTATAGTGTTTATTTTTTAATGTAAAACTTCTTTTGATATGTGGTTTAATTTTACTTTCCTAAGTATATCTTAATATGGATGGGTTTTATTTTCACTTATCCAAATATATTTTTTCTGTTTAAGTTATGGATGACCAGACAGTAATCTGTACTGATTACGATAGTATAGAAACAGATGAATCTAAAGAAGAATCTAAAGAAGATTCAAGAGAATCATTAACTGGTAAGAAAACTATGATAACTATTTTGGAATTGAATAAAATATAATTTTGCTTTCAGTTTTCAAAAGATCAGCCATTTTGAATTAAACTACTCATATTTTTATTTTTGAAAAGGCTGTTTGGAAGTTAAAGCTTAGGTGTTCATGAATTCTAAAATAATAAAGGTAACAGATTATTTAGACTGTTGTCAGATACTTTCACATCCCTCTCTTATCATGTATTCTAGAGATTATAGTAATAAACTAAGATCTATAAGACAAATTATTAAATATCATAGTTTTCCTAAAGAAAGAGGGAAGAAACACATATATCATCCAATTTTAAGATATATTAGACCTCAAATTCCTTTTGAGAATTGTAAGGAAGCTAAAAATCCCACACGGCTACAATTTGGACTTTAAACTATTCAGGACTCCCCAAGGTTTCACTGATCCACCTTCCAGGCTAATGATCCTTGTCTCTAAGTAAGCTTTAAACCACAATTACAACCATTTTCTTTACCAAAATTATTTTTATCAGAAAATGTAAAATTGCTCAAAGACTGTTAACTGTATGTCTACCTTACAGCTTTTAATAAAAGATGAATTTATAATATTTTATATTACATAAGCAAAAAGTTTCTAATTTAATGGGATAAAACAAAGTAGAAGTTAAAATACAAATGACAATATGAAGATAATATGAATGGTACTTATAAAAGTCAACATAATTATATCAGAACTGTTTTCATTCAAAAATTCATATTTCTGCTTTTACCTTCACTTATATATAAACTTGGGCAGATTACATAACCTCTCTGTGATTTTTTTTTTCTTCTGAAAATAAGAATAATAATATACCAGTTTCACTGGGGTTAGTAAAAGTCAAGTAAGTCTCTCTATGTAAGGTGCCCGGAATAACATCTGGTACATAATGCTGTATGTGTTTACCATCATTATTAGTAGTATTACTAGTATTATTAATTGGTGCCGCTAATTACATTAACTTTGAGAGAATATTCCATAATTGTACTTAAAACTCTTAGACTTCAAAATTAGATTTTGCAGATCTGATACGTTCATTATCCAACTCCCGATAGGTTTATTCTAGAACTTTTACAGATGATGCTTGAGCCTTTGGACCCCTCATTTTCAATACATTCCACTCGGGCCGGGAATTTAGCTCAGTGGTTTCGCGCCTGCTGCTCAAGCGCAAGGACCCGAGTTCGATCCTTGGTACCAAAAAAATAAATAAAATCAATACATTCCACTCTTATGGTTCGCTGTAATTGTTAGAAAGTGATTCTTTATCTTGAGCTTACTGTTTTTTTCTCTTAAATTTCAACTTAAATTACAGACATCATTAAGTTTTGTGTATGATAATGCTACGGTAACAACTAATGGGGTTTGTATAGTTTTTGGGGTTGGTTTAAGAAGCAATTTTACATACAGTATTTCACTGTATTGAACAAGAATCTGGCTTCTGGAGCCATAGGTTATTCTTCTTCCCTAGGGCAGCCTTTAGATGAGATTGACAAGAGCTTTTCTGGCAACATCTTCCCTTGCCACATGTGTCTCCTTTTCCACATGATGTGTCCTCATCTCCTTTACCACTCTTTAACGTGATGATTTCAGACGTTTTGATCTTCTTTTTTGTTTGCATCTATTGTGTCAATATTTATCTTAAAATGTGAGCCCAATTTGAACAAAATTCTCCAGATATTTTTCTGTAAGTTAATAGCACATTTGATACTCATACAGTACTCATTCTGCACATTTTGGTATTGCAGACTACTACTTTTTTCCCAGACTTACTATAGACATTTACATTCATCCCTATTACTTTAATTTTGGCTAATACTCAATATTGGGATAAGAAATCAATCAGTAGGAATAGCAAATTTTTTGGTATTTAGAGTCATTATTCATGTTGAAGCACACTCATTTTATCATTATTTAATTATGTAATAATTCATATGAGAAGTGAGAAATACAGTATATTAATATGATCAATGAGATGCTTTATTTAAGAAAACCCATAAAACTAATTTTTAAATTTAATTTTAATTTTTATATTTTGATTGATTGATTGATGATTAATTGCAGTGCAGGGGATTAAACCCAGGGCCTTACCAAGCATTCTATCACTGAACTACATCCCCAGCTCTTTTTTTTTTTATTTTGAGGCAGGGTCTCAATAAGTTGCTCAGGTTGACCTTGAACTTGTGATATTCCTGACTTTGCCTCCCAGTAGCTGGGATTTCAGGTAAGTACCACCACACCCAGCTCAAGTGTCAATTTAATTACCTGTAATGGAAGATCAATCTCAGTCATTAGTGCACTCTGCTTTTTATCAAAGATGAACATCAAAATGTTGCTTTTATTAGAAATTAGCCACAGAAGTCACGTCTCTCCAAAAAAATAGAGTGACTGTTCTGTTACTTTTCTTTAATGAAACTAAACTGCTTTGAGCAGAGAAAATAGAGTGTATGATTAATATAGTTAATTTGTAATTAGTCAAAGGGAGAGTGAAGATGATTAAATTTTAGAGTACTTTTAAATTTAATTTGAGAATTTTTAAAAATACCTACTAATTACCCCCTAAATTAAAGATACTGTTTATTAAATTACCTCAGTTTAAGTAGAATTAAATATTCCATTGTTATTTTCTTTAAGAGTAACTGTTTTGGGCAAATCATTATTTTGAATAAGTAATTGAGAGATGTGAGAAAAGTACATTGGTTTCCTTGAAAGTAAATACTGTTTTTCCTTCCATTTTTAGAAGACTGATAGTTCATGTTTCACATGTTAGCTCTGGGAATTATGTTAATTAAATATGATCATTCACCCAATGTTTATGAGAAAAGTGTTATGTTTGTAGTATACATTATTTTGAAAAATCATCAGGCTTCACGTTTTCTATTTATTTTTAAATGTGGGTTGATCACATTAAAATTCTGAGTATTACTGACCATTAATTATTTCTACTAATAATTAAATTAGTGTTTTCTACTAATCTTCCTTTACTTGAGATCAGAGGTTAAGACATCTACTTTGGCAGATACCTTCCATATGTCCCGAGAAAATGAAAATAAAATGGTAAAACAACAGGTAGATGCAATTGATATTTTCAGTTCCGCTTGATTAAAACAGATCTTCAGTTTGTAGGCACTTAATAATTTGTCCTTTACCTTTCTGTTTGGTTTTTTTTAATCCTGGCTTTTTGTCAACAGTTAAAGCTGCACCTCGGTCTCCAGATGCTCGGGCAAGTCGTGGCCATTCCCAAACTGATTCTCTCCCTGGTCCAGCTGTGACAGCCACCAAAGAAAATCTCCCTGTACTCAATACTAGAATAATTTGCCCAGGTAGTTCAGATTCTGAAACATGGTGTATTATTAAGTATTTCTGTGATAATGTGTAAGTACTCATTTCCATGAGCTCTGAAATATGTTCATGTTCTTAAAGATAAATATTCCTAAGAGAATGTTCTCGCCACACTTATCAGTAGGGATCCAGGTCCTTAGATTCCTCTGTGTATAACAGTTTGCTAGGAATCATTAAAACATATTTCTTGACCCTTCCCTGAGAAATTATAATCCATTATTTTGGGGGTGTTGCCCAGGAATCTCTCCTTATTAAATATCCACAGTAAATCTTCTCTTCCAGTCTATGACCTCTAAGTATCTCCACAGTTTTCTTTTGGTTTTAAGCCAACAGTCTCTCTGTAGACATTTTTAGTGAAGTGATATTGCTGTATATTTTGAACATCTTATTGTAGTACTGATAAAATAAATCTACCTAAGATTGGACTAGCATTAGTAGAAATCAAAGGATTATAAGCATGAGATGGTGGAAAACATTGGTACCTTATAGGCCTCCTTAAGTACCAGTTGTTTTCATTTACAAAAATCTTTCTGCTTCATTCAGAGTAGGTTGGTATCCAGGTTAAACCCTGAAGTCTGTCTCGTACAAGTTCTTTTTAAAGATGAATCACAATTCAGTGATAACAGAGAGTTTAGTAACTCACTTTCAGTAGTGGACAGAATTACTAGACAAAAGATCAATAAGAAAATAGAATACCTGAAAGAAGCACTTTAGAACACTTGAACTACCCATTGTAGAATTCACATACATATATCCCCCCCCCCCCCGGGGTGCTTGAAACCAATGTCTTTTTACACTGAGCTACATCCCATCCTTTTTATTTTTTATTTTT